TTGCTTTTGCTTATTAGCCTTTCCAGACATGAAAAGAATGCATTAAAAGTAACCCTAAAATTTCATTTTCAAGATCATTTCAGAATTATTCACTTTTTAGTTACAATAAAATAATAATAAAAAAAACTAAAATGTATAGTTATTAAAATGGATATTTAAGATTGTTCAAGCAGAGTACTTAATGAACAGGAAGAATCCTAAGAAGAAGAGAAGGACATAACAACCAAAGACAATAAATGTGCTTATTGATCCATTTATTGATTCTTCATAATATAATATTAATTGTACTTTGTCCATTATATTAATATTCTTCATTGTAATTAAAACTTCTTTACGTTCAGCAAAAGATAAAAAGGCATCACAATCTTTCACTTCAATATTCTCAATATTTTTTCCTTCTACTTTCAGATATTTGGCACTGTCTGGAAGATACACACGAACAATAACTTCTTTAGCCATAGCAGTTTTAATAGATGGTAAAGTAATGATTGCTTTACCTTTAGAAATAACAACTTCATTGGGAAGACTATAACCAATCATAAATTCTGTTTTCCAACCAGTTAATAAAGGATATCTAGGAAGTGCTACTAAAACTAAATTATCATCATTTAGAAGTAAAGAAGAAGTAGAAATATTTCCAGAAGTATCTTTATATTGAATGGATGATGCACGGGTATTTAAATTAATTTCAAAGAACCCAATTGCATTTGGGGAATTACCAATATTTTGTTGGAAGTCAAACCTAGAAAATCCACTAGATAATTGAGCACCTTCATTTGTGAAATCTTCAAACCAATCTTCAACTTTAACAAAAGAAGATATTGTTGGTAAGTCAACGGTATGTATCATTTTATTAACTTTGATATGAGGTAATGAATTTGAATGTACAGTTGTTTCAATTAATTCCATTGGAGGTAAATCATCAAAAGGACCAAAAGCAGTAGTATTTTTAATAGTACTATGTTTTGTGTCAGAGATAACTTTTAATTTATCATAATGATGAAGAAGAACTTGACATGATTTAGTTTTTGATTGAGTTAATGGACAAAGAAGAAGAGTATAATCGAATTCTTGTGAATCAAATTGACTAATAAATTTTGGAACAGGAAGATAATTATTAATTTGTATATAAGCCATTGTAAGAGAGATTTTAGGTGTATCTTCAAATTCAACAATAAATTGAGTATATTCTGTTTCATTATGAGTTGTAAATGTTAGTTCTTTCTCTGTTTCTTTATTTAAGAATACTAAACTTGAAATTTCATATGACTTAGGAAGATAAAAAGCATACGAATGAAGTGGTTGTTCTGATGTTACTGTTATATCCATTTTAATTCCTGGATATGCTGTTGTAATATCAATATCTACATTAGCTATTTCATTTGTTGTTGATAAAACAACAGATATAAACAGAAGAAGTATACCAATATTCTTCATTTATTTTGTTTTTCTTTTTATTAGTTCCAGGGTTTTTTAAAGATGAAAGATGAATTAACTATTTTTATCAACATTCATGATAAAATATAACAGAAATAATTAACTATTCTTTCAGACGTAGTAAATGATACATACTACTATTTCATTGACTGATTCTAATAACGTAATAATGAATTTAAAAAAAAATAAATATGAAAGAAAGAATATTTCTTTATTTTTATTAAAAAAAGTAAATATAAATAATTTATATTTTAATAAAAAAACAATAATAAACTTATAATAAAAGAAAAAACATAAAAAAAAAGAAAAAAAATTAATTTTTAAGATAAAATGAGTGGTTTGGAACAAATCTTCAACATATTACATCAAAATATTATTGAAGGAAAATTATATGAAGCACTAATGCAATATAAGTCTTTATTCAATAGATATTCAAGACGTTCTATTGAACATGGAATTGCTATTATACAAGATGGAGTTGAACAATTATCAAAACAAAATGATTTAACGTCATACTTTGGGTTAATTGAATTTTATGAGAAGTATTTAGAAACACATAGAAATCTTATTAACGATAAGTCAATTGTTCCATTTAATAATATTATTGAAATACCTGCTTCAGAAGATAAAATTAAACAAGAAGAAGCTATTATTCAATTATTAAATCAAACTTCTTTTAATGACATTAAAATAAGATTAAATAAGGATTTAGGTATTAGTTATATGAATATTGGTAATATCAATAAAGCTCTTGAATCATTCATTAATGATATTAATGATATTGTTATGTTATTTGATTATGTAAAACAACACAATAATATCCCTATGGAACAATTAACATTATTATGTGTCCTTAAAGTTTTATTATCAAATACTCCAACTAATGCAAGAAAAATTTATCAATTAATACAAGACAAATATAATTCTCTTTTATCTTCTCAAGCAATTCAAGTTAGTATTATTTATATTATATTAATAATGAAAGTGGTTGATAAGAAAGATAAAAAAGAAGATATTGAAATTGCATTTAAAAAAGCAACTTCATCTTTTGAAACCATTTTAAAAGAAAACCAAGTTTTAGTTTTTGTTGATGAACTTCATTCTAAGTACTTTGCTAAACCACAATCATCACCTAATCTATTCGCATCATTAATGGAATCAATGATGCAAGGAGGACAACATTAATAAGACTAATTTATTTCTTAGTTTTGATATTTGAGAAGTTTGAAAGAATAAGGAAGGAAACAAAAGAAACGAAAACGAAAGAAAGAATTTTTAAATCTTTTAACAAAAGAAAGTGTAGAAAGAAAAAATCTTTCAAAGTCAGAAAAAAAGTTAAAGAAATACTTTGTTTTATTTATACAAGAAGATCTTACTTTCTCTTATATACAATCTTTATGTCATTAATATATAATATTCGTCCTAAAGAATTTCCTAAAAAACGTTGTGGTATTGTTGGATATGTTGGTAATGATTCTTGTTCAAAATATCTATTTGAAGGACTTATGATTCTACAAAATAGAGGTTATGACTCAGCTGGAATTGCTTCTATTAATAATAACAAACAACTTATTGTAACGAAATATGCTAGTGAAGGTAGTACATCTGATTCTTTGAAAATTCTTGAAGGGCATTTAAGTGAACATCAAAATAATACAATTGGTATTGCTCATACTCGATGGGCTACTCATGGTTCTAAAACTAATATTAATGCTCATCCTCATTGTGACCAACATAATAGAATTGCATTAGTTCACAATGGAGTTATCCAAAACTATGCTGAAATTAAAACAGAATTATGTGAAAAAGGAATTAAATTTATTTCAGAAACTGACTCAGAAGTTATTGCCCAATTAATTGGATATTATTTGGATCAAGGAGAATCATTAATTGGATCATTAAAAAAATGTGAACAAAAGATGATTGGAACTTGGGGAGTAGTTATTGTCTCTATTGCACATCCAAATTGTTTATTTGCAATGAAGAATGGAAGTCCTTTATTAATTGGGATTGGAGATAAACGTAGATTTATTGCAAGTGAACCAGCTGCATTTGCTAGATATACTCGAGAATTTATTTCATTAAAAGATATGGAAGTAGCTGTAATAGATGCAAGTAAACCAATTGACTTATCTCGTGTTGAAATTCATCCAGAAGATAATATTGCTCTTTCACCAGCACCATTTGCTCATTGGTGTATTAAAGAAATTACAGAACAACCAATTGCTGCATCTGCAGCAATGAATTATGGAGGACGATTTATTGATTCAAAGAATGTCAAATTAGGAGGATTAGAAAGTAAATCAGAAGAACTTCTTCCAATAAAAAATCTTATAATTTCTGGTTGTGGAACAAGTTATTATGCTTCTATGTTTGGTTGTTCAATAATGCGTAAATTAAAATCATTTAATACTGTAGAAGTTATTGATGCTGCTGAATTAACACTTGATTGTTTACCAGAAGAAGGAGGAATGCTTGTTGTTTCACAATCAGGAGAAACTAAAGATGTTCATAGAGCATTACAATTAGCACAATCCATTAATATGCCAACTTTTTCTGTTATAAATGCAGTAGGTTCATTAATTGCAAGAACAACTATGTGTGGAGTTTATGTTAATGCTGGAAGAGAAAATTCAGTAGCATCCACAAAATCTTTTTCATCCCAAGTAATTTGTTTATGTCTTATTGCAGTATGGTTTTCACAACATAGAAAATGTATATCAGGAAGAGAACAAGTAATTTCAAGTTTACAAAGAATTCCAACATGTATGGGAATGGCTTTAACGTGTCGTCCAAATTTACAAAGAATAGCACATAAACTTATTGAATTAAATACAACTTCAATGTTTATTCTTGGAAAAGGACTTGCTGAAAGTGTTGCTAAAGAAGGAGCATTAAAGATTAAAGAAATTTCTTATATTCATGCAGAAGGATATTCTGGAGGTGCATTAAAACATGGACCATTTGCTTTAATTGAAAAAGGACTTCCAGTAATTCTTATTATTTTAGATGATGAACATGCTAATTTAATGAAAGTAGCAGCAGAAGAAATTAAAGCAAGAGGTGCTTATTTAATTATTATCACTGACCGTCAAGAATTAGCATGTGTTGCTGATGAAATTATTTTAATTTGTAATGCTGGTTTATTAACAGCTCTTGTTGCTGTTGTTCCACTACAAATTTTAGCATATGAATTATCTATTGCTAAAGGAATAAATCCAGATAAACCAAGAAATTTAGCAAAAGCAGTTACTGTGGACTAAAAATGTTTTAAGTGAACAATTATTTATTGTCTTAGAAAAGAAAATTTTATAATTCTTTTTTTAATAATTGTTATTATTTAAATAAACCCTTTCAAATTTTTATGAAAAGAAAGAAGATTAGATTTAGTGATTAATGTCAAGACCAGAACATATTGCACCACCAGAATTCTTTTATAATGAAGAAGAAGCTGGAAAATATGCTAGAAATACTCGTATGGCTTATATCCAAACAGAAATGACAGAAAGAGCATTAGAATTATTAGGAATACCAGAAGAAACTAAAGGATTACATATTCTTGATCTTGGATGTGGTTCAGGATATTCAGGAGAAACCATTGAAGAGAATGGACATTATTGGACTGGAATGGATATTTCTCGAGATATGTTAAATATTGCAAAAGAAAATGGTTCAAGCGTTATACAAGGGGATATGGGAGATTATTTACCATTTAGACCAGGATCATTTGATGGATGTATTTCAATATCTGCAATACAATGGCTTTGTCAAGCAGATAAAAAAACACATAATCCTATAACAAGATTAAGAAAATTATTTGAAGCACTCTTTGGGTGTCTCAAACGAGGAACAAGAGCAGTTTTTCAATTATATCCAGAAACACCAAATGATTTAGAAATGATTACTAATGCTGCAACACATGCTGGATTTACTGGTGGAGTTGTAGTAGATTTTCCAAATAGTAAAAAAGCAAAGAAATATTATATTGTGTTAATGTGTGGTCAACAGAAAGGTGCATTACCACAAGCCCAAGGAGTAGAAGTTACTGATGAAAATGAAGGAATTAAAGTAGATAAAAAGAAGTATAAAGATGCTACAAAACCATCGAAATTAAAATATAAAAGTAAAGCTTGGATCTTTAGAAAGAAAGAAAGACAAAGAGAGAAAGGTATGGAAGTTCGACCTGATAGTAAATACACAGGAAGAAGAAGGTCAGGAAAGAAGTTTTAAATTGATTGAATTTGTGTGTAATTGAAGAGGTTAAATATTTACTATAAAGAACTATAAAAAAAGAACTTAAAAGAAATTAATTAAAAGAATAATAAATAAATGGGAATAAAAGGTCAAGAAGGGAATTGTATTCTTTTACTTAAAGCTTTTG